CGTAGAAATTTAGTTCATTCAAAAGTTTGAATGGAGCTGGATCCATGGACATTGGTTCCATGCGATCGTATCCCCACGTGTGCGACTCTTGGAGAGAACCGAAGAACCGAGCAGAGCCTCTTCAGATACTTCGTTTATTCATATGATCCCACGAACGCGAATCTCTTATTCAGAATTCAAAAGCAGATGTTGTGCAGATCGCAATGATGTCACAGTTATAATGGGGGAAATGGTTTGCCTGATTCGAGCACTGGTAGATTTTTGATGCAGTGGCGCCGAGTACACAAGGTTGAGTAGCTTGAGAGTGTTTAAAGAACAAATATCCTGTCACATTTGGATTAGATTTGTGAAATGTTGGGTCTATTATTCCACGACCGTTCCGCGTGAAAAATTCATTCAAAAAGGATATTTCATCAACCCCTATTTCGCCAATGGGCCGACTCGGTTAACAGTTGAAGGTAAAATGCGTGCCGCGTAAAATAAATAGGCAATGCTTGGAGAAAGAAAGCATGTAGAGAGTCTTTGAGTTGGAAATTATCATTTGGGTGAATGCGGAGGCTTGCAGTGGGTACCTAGGATGGCGAAGTCAGAGAAAGATGGCTTAACTGGAGAAGCAAGTGCACTGACTGCATTATAGGAGCCAGCCCCAAAAGTAACGGGACTAGATAACCGTCAATGGAATAACCACTTTCGTTGAAACAGATTTCATTGGTTGTTCTTCAGTCGCCCTTGACAGATGAGTTATTTTCTTAGGATCACTTTCGACCGCTTGTACGCGACAGTGATCAATACAGCACTTACGTTGATTTTTATCTGGATTGGTCAAGCGCACCAGGCGATCAATCGGTTACCCAGACTGGGGTTCACGGTAATAAGAAAGCATTAAAGGACCACAACAGCTCTAGAAGCTTGATTCATTCACGGCAAATGTCTCAATCTTAGAGTAATTGGTACAGGCGGACCGCATTACACTATGCGGTATTTCACGTGGCCATTAAAAGTTATACTCTCTTGACGTAACGAAAACTCATAGAAGGGTCAAGTCATCGCAACTTGCCCTCGTGCATACCCCCAGCATGAGGTAATAAAAGCGTCAGGTCTGGTCACGTGAACTGCGTATTCGGCAGCTTTTAAGCCTGAAATTTCGAATGCAGAAATATGCCGGTTGTACGTTTTCCAGTATTTGCGAAGCCGGTTTTTGTGTGGATCCCGTCAATTAATGAGGGATGGGCGCAGTGTTATATACTACTGAAGAGTTACCTTCACCCACAACGCATTTTGCGGATTGATCAGTGCTTCACACAAAAAGCTACTCATACGGTTGCTTAAAACCCTCGCCGACCCAATGTTCTACTTGAACCAGTGCTTCAATAACGCAAGCTGAAAAGAATGGTCGTCAGTATGTCACTTCATCTTTTGCCATTCGACAGATTCTACATGGCGCAATAACTATTGCATGCTCAGGTGTATTTATGACTCTAAAAAAGTGACTTCGATTTCCATCTATCCACTCTTCAATTTCAATCCCGATCTGGAGCGCGAAGACATATTGGCCTTTTTGTTAATCAGGATGTATTGTTCACTGTACATCCCAATTCTGTTGGTTCTCTGAACGGCTCATTTTCTAGGATATTGGGCGTTGTTCTGATTGGTGTCTTCCCTAACTGTATGGTGGTGTGGTGCGCTATTGGATCCATACAGATATTGGAGTTCAACTCAGTTTAACAAACTAGTTGCTTACCTGAATTAAAAATTTCACGTTTCCCATTTGAAAAAAATTGTGAACGATAGCTACGAAGAGATGACAGGGGTCTCCTCATTGAAAGCTCGAACGTATTGATGGAAACTCGGGGGCTGCGCCTACCCGGAGAGTCCCAAGAAGGGCGAAACTGGTCGTGGGCTGTCGAAGAGCTTTCATCAACCTTGTGAGTAGGTTATTTTATGGGAATAAAATCAAACTTCCCTGAAACGCCGAGTAGGTTTTTCCGCGTTGCTGTTGAAATTTGAAATTTATCGGACTTGACAG